GCGAGGCAATGCAAAAAACTAATCAAATGTGGTAAAAAAATATTGAAAACCATCAAATCATTCTTGGGAATGTCTGACGCCTTTCTTTCCATTCTTTTAAACAATCCTTTTCAATCCGTGTGAGCTTCACACACACGAAATAACGAGTGTCAAAAAGTGACAAATACATTGCTTCGGTAATCTCGTCTCAATAAATAAATAACAACTGAATTAATCCTGATAGTTCACACGTTATCTTTGCCAAAAGGTGATCACAAAAATATGCCTCAAAATTAGTTTCACTAGCGCGTCGAGGCAATTTTGTTGGAAGGTTATGACTGTTGTAATGAAAGACTAAGCGATAATTTTACATCAAAGGCGAAACATTACCGTACCTTAATCTTCATCATTGGAAGACATTTCCGTCAGAAGTATGATGTAACATCAACAACTGCGCTGACATCATTGTCGTCGTTGACGTCACGATAATCTCAAAGAGACCAATTACAACGATTTATAGCTGCGTTAATGTGTTTCTGCTTGTGTTTTACGTTTTCCCGGCCAATATATACAATTAAACGTCCTTGATGTTTCTTTCTTTATTTATTGACAGAAGCAAGCTTTTGTTTACATATCTATCTTTTTTTGTCCATTATAAAATCTTGTTCTCGTTTAATCTATCTTTCTTCACGTTAATGTCTTTGCCATTTTCCTTCCTTCTGTTAAATGAGGCATTTCAACCATCTGCCAAGTTTTAAACCGAGTAATTTCTCAAAATTTGCAGGGCTCAAAGTGGTGTCCGGCTGCACATATAAGATCATCAATATTATTTTTTCAATTTTTATCGTTCCTATTATCATTGCTGTCATCGGTGTTCTTACAGCAGCAGACGTGCGCTTGTTGAAACATTACATACCGCCATCATTGTTAGAAGTTTATGCAAAATTTTATCGACGCAAATGCTCAGGAAGTATCTTCAGACGCCACATAACACTTGGGACCTTGAGGTAGGCAGACAGGCAGGCAGATGCATGCACAAGAACACGCCAACCCACCACCCGTCTAATTTTTTTCCTATTTTCCAACTCACCAGCTTTTTACTTGCGAATTTCGATTAGTCCATCAATGATAGATCATGCAATATTGACTTATCGACGAACCTACACAAAGCGCACATCTTGCATACGTTATGCGAGCAATCAAGCCGCGCCCAGAAATAAACAAACGGCTCGGACAAACTCAGTGAGAAAGATGCACCAACAACCGAAACACATAAACAAAAACATGCAGACGAGATTTTTACGGATGAAATATATGCAATGCACACATTTGAACCTTTGAATCGATGGTTTTGGCCGTCTTTTAAGAGTTACGTAGGAATTATTTAAAAATGATTTCACTTGAATACAATTAGTTTAAAAATTTTATTAATTGTAAATAATACATAGTTGTACCATTGCATATGCTAGTGTTTAACAATTCATTAGTTCGCTTTATTATTGTGCACTAGCTTGGAGGGTAACTCAAAATGCTAGATTCTTTAAAATATTGCAGAAGTTTTCCCGGAACGAAATACCAAAACGGAGTACCAGTACAAATTAAAAAGTACAATACATCTCATAATTAAAACTATGAACTTGCTTTGAAGGAAAATAAAAAAAAATATAGGTTAAAAAATGCCAAACACACATGTAGTGGTATCATTTTTAGTAGGTACACAAACGAGAAAATGTAGAATAAAAATTGCTGAAAGGTACAAAATCATAGATCAGATGTGACACAAAGAAGCATGTCATGTTTGGGTGCCGATTTCTTGTATAAAAGTATGTAGGTTTATACGAGTATGTATTTGTGATTGGGTGTGTGCGTATGCTAGTTCGTGAATACAATACCTACAAATGCATTGTGTTGGGTACATAATGGATCAGCGTACGTCAAGATTGATTTCGTGTACTTTGACAGAGATTATGATGGAAATGAGTGGCTGGCGACGATGATGATGACGACGACGAGGATGTGATACTGATAACGATGACAATAGCGCTGACAATGGCATGCATTCTTAATGAGAAATTTGGAAAAAGATTGAAGAAAAATGTTTCGCATGATGTTTGTGTTGCTAATTTTTAAAAATCTACGTAAAAATATCTATACCACATAAGGTCATTTGAAAATATTACCAAACATATAAATAAATGTGCGTGTGGTGTGTGTGTGAGCGCGCGTGGCGCGTGTATGTGTGTATGACATATATTAATTTTAATTTTAAATTATTCATCAGGTGTCAGAGAAGATGTGGAATTCTCCATCATGTCGCCCTCAGTTTTCCGGAGAAACTTTCAAATTAATTACGTTATCAAAAATATTATTTGATGAACGGATAAAAATCATTTACTGAATTATTATGACGTTTTATTTTGTTATTATTTCTGTTTAAAAAAACAGTCGGGATGGATTAGCATCGTACTGTACACTTGAAACATTGGCAATTTTCAATTAATATTTTAGTTAAATTATGCATATAGGTATGTAAAAATATATAAATACACACGTATGTGTGCGTGTGTGCAAAAGTTTGTGCGTGTGTAAATGTCAACTGTTATATTATGTAATAAATTATACGTCTAACTGTGTAACATCGAGGAGTCTTCATTACGTAACATGTTCACATTTTCGAGAAACACAAGAGTAGCAAAAACAGATTTTAAATAAACGAAGCACGGTTCGTTTGCCTTCGTTATATAACAGGTAGCAGTACAACAGAGCTGGGTTTGTAATAAATTATGAAATGCACAGAAAGAAGATCGAATGACGAATGAATATTTAGTTTTTAGTATAAATCTGTGTTAAGAAATGGAGTAAGTGTCGGTTTACTGTTTGAAAATCTTATTTTCTCACTGTAATTGAATCAAGAACACAAATGCATCAAGTTAACCTATTCTTGGCTCAAATTTATAAGATGAACGCAATTGATCGATCACAAAGTTTTCGAAACACTAATATATGAAGCAAAGTATTTTTAATTTTTTTATTAATTTCATCCCTTTACTTAATTGCTCAATGGCAGCAATAAACTTAGATGATTTACTGTAGTCTACAACAAATTATTCATCATAAATCAATTAAGGGTTAGACGTAAAACTTATTTCACATATGTGTAAAACTTCACACACATAAAACATAAAAGGCCATTGGCTTGATGAAATTTATTATTAATTAAACTGAGCTGAATCATGTTAAATAGGACATGATGATCGTGCCACATGGCCAAGTAGTTATATAACTAACTAGTTATACAGCATGCGCATACTCACATACATACACAAACACACATAACACACATACCTACAAACATGCATATACACACATTCATAGATACTACATGCACACTACACATTCAAATACATAGAACAATTTGATGAAATTTTACATATAGCCTTCCCATATTCACTGTGCTAATAATGCACTCATCTCATGACTTGGCCTACGTGATGAACCTACGATAACAACATTAACTACGTCATATAAACTATACACACATATATTTGATACACATATAACACAGTTAATTATATATATCTCTATATTATATAGTATAAAATTTATATATACATATATATACATATATATATATATATGAATATATATATATATATATATATATATATACATACCCTATACATATAATTACATCGATAAAATGTATGAATTGACACTATTATAATAATGCAGTGTACGTACAGGCCAGTAAAGTAAAGCCATGCGTATGTAAGAAAATAAACAAAGGAGAGATTTTGCTCCGATGGTTTGATTTTAAGGTAAAAAAAATGATTTATGACATTAGTGAAGCGTGTTTAAATGTGAATTTAACGAAATAAAAAATGTTTTCTAAACTCACGACGTCAATTTAAGGATGAAATATGTTACCAGCACACGCGCCTTTTAAATCAGCTGTCGGGAGTACGTTTGTTTATTATCAACACTAAAAGTGAACCTAACGTACAATAACACGGCTACGATTCATTTAATTAGTAAACATTTTTGTCAAAGTTTGCCGAAATTTACTTGAATATTTTAAAAATAAACAAAAAATATTATGTAAATTGCAAATATGTTTATTTTTAAACATTGAATAACGGAAGAAGTGGTGAAATTAAAGCCTAATCTGTAGAGAAACTCAATAAGGTCGCAGCTACACTACGTTGCCAATGTAAGAGACGTTCTGCTGTATGCATTCAAATATTATATAACCAGGTTTGTTATGTAACGATTATATAATCAAATGTCTTATTTTTTGTTTTATTCCATTTTATTTAATACACCCGAACTTGACGAGTTTCCTTCATAAGTGTTCCGTCGTTTTCGAACGCATCTTTTCTCTTCATTTTGTTTGGTCTTTTCAAATTTTCAACAAATAAATTTCCAATTTTTTATAAAATTTCATTTCTTTCAAATTCAAAGTTTCAACAAACATCAGAAAAAAATACAAACTTTTTTATTCAACATAATTTATAATATAATTGACAATATATGAATATAATAATCTTCCTTGTCAATCTTTATTGTGTTAGGTTAGTTTAGTCGCTTTTTTTTAGACTTAGAATTATCATTAGAATATTAGATAGAGACTGATAGACTTAGTTGGCAATTCAATCATTTGTCATGTGCACATACTCTCACACACACACATACAACATTACTTTTTTATTTTCATATTTTGATATTTAGTTATATTTTGAAATACATATGGAAAAGAGTGGAATAATTAACTAATAAGTAACTGATTAACGATTATTCAATAAGCACTCCAATCTAATCTTAAAAATAGTTTGAAATTAAAAGAAGTTAATTTTTAACTTGTTTTTGTATACGATATCACTTTGGTTTAGGCACTATAATATTGGTAATAAATATAAAACTTTAAAATATATATCTCATTAAACATTTTTGTAAAACAGTTTAACATTATAGTAAGTTTACATTTGCAATCAACAGCTAAACAGGACCTTTTAGTTAGAACAATGGACTCAAAAGTGAAAGATTATTTCAGGTACGGTGATTTTTTGTTGTCTGAGAATGAAGTTGGCCAGGCAATGTCAGCGTACTCGAAAGCAATCAAAAAAACGAAAACAAATATTTCAGCTGACCAGCTGGGCAAACTGGTTTCTTGCATGATTGACAACTCCACACCATCACATCTTGCATCTCACACGGCATTCACAACAGCTGAAACAACAACACCATCCAACAAACAATCAACAACAGAAGAAGGTAGTGTTGATGACTTGGAAAATGTGTTGATATGCTGCAGTGAGTGTAGAAATGTTTTCCATGAACCTATCACCAAACTTTGTGGCCACACTTTCTGCCAACTCTGTATCAAAGATGTGGATGATGTCTGCCTGAAGTGTGCAGCTGAAGAAACGTCAAAATGTTTCAACAGTTTGGTTGTCTTCTCAAAATCAAATGTTTCCTTGGTTAATCTCATCGATAAATTTTCAACTTTAATGCCAATTGTGAAGTTGAAGAATGATATATTGAGTTTATACAAGAGTGGTAAACTCAAAGAGGTAGTTTCACTTATTGATGGCGAGGCAGATAAAGGTTTTTTACTGATTTGATGCTTTTCTTTATTATTTATATTTGTCATTTTTTACTCATCTCAAGATATTTAGATGTTTTTTTTTCATTAGTCATTTTCTTTTCACCTTTATAATGTATTGCTAAATTGTAAATTTCAACCATCCTATTTATAAAAATAACTTTCAATCAAATTGATTGATTGATTGATTGACTATTTATAAAAATAACTTTCCTTATTTTTCATCAACGAATGAGTTTGATACTCAGCGTTAGTTGCTTCGTATAAAAATTTATCCAATGGTCTGAACAATATTTCATACATCAAATAACAAACATTTAAAACATCCTTACACTAATAATTATGATAAATAAGGATATGTATTCAAAGTGAAGTCCAGTAAAAATTAAATTTTAAAATTGTTATAGGTACTAAACTGGACCTATATGTGATGCTCTTGAGATGCATGTCTCTGTACAAACTAGCTGATTATCAGCAGTCTCTATCAACAGCTGATTACATCATTCAGTACAATCCCAAATGCTTAATGGTTATTAGAACAACAACAACGCATCATCGTCATTTATCATTATTGTCATCACTATTTTTATCATGCTATTATTTATTAATATTTCATCTTTAATCATTTCATATCTTACCTAAAATATGCATGGGATGATAATTCCTAATGGTTACAATTGCTAATGGTGACGGTGTAATGAGTATGGTACCTGTCTCTTCTGTTGTCTTAATCGTGTTTGAATGCAAAGAAACTCCCACCTATCATAAGCAATTTGCAGTGACCCACAACTGAGCAATGTAGTCAGTGGCAGTTGACTAATAAGCATGCTGGTAAGAGCATTTTTAAATAAGAAGGGCTTATTTCTTTTGCCATTTTTAAAATCACGACCTACTTTTTTTATATTTAACAAGAAAATATTGAATAAATTTGATTTAATTTAGGGCCATTTGTGTAGATCACGTTGTTTGCACTGGTTGGGTCAGTTTGATGCGTCCATATTGTCATATCTCACGTGTCTGTCCATTCCTCAACGACTGAGTGTCAAAATTAAGAGAGAGCTTGAAAATGTTGTTGTTTTGTGTTTTTATTTTGTGTTTTTTATCGTTGTTATTTAGTATTTTTATTATATTAATTATTATCGTTGGTTATCTGGTTTCGTGTTGTAAACTTTAACTGTGAAAAAGAATTTTTCAAATGTTTTCATTCTCATGAAGGGAAAGTTCAAAGATAGATTTTTAAAAAAATATTAAGGCATGCTGTTAATTTTAGCAGTGCAACATACGTTTATTACTACCATTCAGGTAGTCAATCATTCTTTGCAACCAAAAACCCCAAATGCCGAATGCACTTCGTATCGCAAAGTACCGTCGTCCTCTTCATCGTCGTCATCATCGTCCTCTTCATCATCACCTTCACGCTTGTTAGAAACATCGTCACCATCGTCTGAGACAGCAAAAATGATTCCAATGTCGACGCCATCTTCCAGTTTAACTTTAGAATTGGATGTTCGATGCGGTCACCATGCTTGTCATCCTCATCAACATCCTCATCATGCTCCTCTTCCTCATCATCATCATCATCAACATCATCTTCATCAACATCATCATCATGCTCCTTTTCCTCATCATCATCAACATCATCATCAACATCATCATCCACTTTTCCACTACCATCATCTTCCTCACTTCGCTCATGATAGCAAGCAATCAACCAATGTTAATAGCAACCCCGTTAACGATAACAATGTTGATAATGATAACAACAATGATGATGATGATGATAATGATGACGACAACGTATTCAGCGCTGATAACAGTCAGAATAAAAACAGTTCCGCAAAACCTAATTGCAAGCAAAACATTAAAAATCTCATAAAAAAGTCGAAATTATCAAAAATATGCGCTCTCTTATCTTCATCGTCGTCATCATCATCTTCTTCATCATCGTCATCAACAACTATGATGACGTCATCACCATCACTTCCGTCATCATCGTTACTAGTATCAATGACATCCAAGTTTTCCATGCTCTCACAGACGGAAATGACCAGACTTGGTATATTTTTGCGTGTCAGTCACAGTCATCATCTTCATCATCATCATTCTATAACATCATCATTTTGTATTTTTGTCAACGCCGTCATCATCATTCTATAACATCATTCTACATCATCATCAACGTCATCTTCATTATCATTCTATAATATTGTCATTTTCATCATCATCAATCTATAACATTATCATTTTGTATCATCATCTTCATCGTTCTACTTCATCATCATCAGCGTCGTCATCATCATTATTATCAGTGATAATATTTTCTTTGTTGCTCTACTCAGTTTCAAAGTTGTTGGGTCTGGTAGCAATAGAAGATTTGGACTGCTCGTTGTGTTATAGGTACTCATCGTCATTTCTGCCATAATTATCACCATCATTATCACCATCATCATCGCCATTATTATCACCATCATTTTACCATCATTATCACTATCGTTATCACCATAATTATCATCATTAACATCAGCATCAACATCGTTATGTAATTGCAATGAAACTACTTGAGTATCATTAGTTCGAGTAGTTATTATTACGTAATAAAACTCACTTCAACAATGAATAAACATTTGGCGAATGAATGAAATCTTTTCTTTTATTCACTTATTCATTCCATCTGATACCGTGCAAGTTTTTTGGTTGCTGATTGGCCGTTCGTTACTTCCTGATTGAATTACAGTGACTGGCCGATTTGATTGGTTGGTCGGTAGGATAGCCGGCTGGTTGACTGACTTGCTAGTCAACTTAATAACCGACTCTTAACTAACTGACTGACTAATCGATTGATGATTGGTTGATTTAATGAATGATTGGTTGATTGATTGGCTGACTGATTGAATGATTGAATGATTGGTTGATTGATTGATTGGTTGACTGATTGATTGATTGATTGATTGATTGATTGATTGATTGATTGATTGATTGATTGATTGATTGATTGATTGATTGATTGATTGACAGATTGTTGTTGGAGCCCATAACAACACCTTGTGGTCACGTGTTCTGCAAGGAATGCCTCTATAGGTCATTGGATCACAATCCCTTCTGTCCACTCTGTAAGGAAGCTCTCTGCAAGGTTGGTTGGTCGAATGATTGTCCAGTCGGTTGATTGTCCAGTCGGTTGGTTGGTCAGTCGGTCGGTCGGTCGGTCGGTTGGTTGGTTGGTTGGTTATTAAATTGGTTGATCGACCGATTCGTTCATGCTGGCGTGAATATCTGAATGCGAAAACGTAGACAGAGATTGAAACCAATCGGAGAAGACGAAGTTGTTTAAAATCTTGGTAGTTGGAGGCTGTTGATGTGAACTTGCTATGGTAATAATGACAGCGCTGGCCTCTGACATTAATATTAAAGATAATGTATTGCCGGTGCCCTTGACGTTAATTAAGAACCAACAAATGATGCAGTACATGGTGCTGAGACCACAGGCCACCACGGAATCATTGAACTGGTTGATGGAGAAACAGTTCGGCGAGGAATTGGACGCCAGGAAGAGGAACCATCTCTCTGAACTAGCTACTGCTGCATGGTAGGTTGGCTTGTTGGCTGGTTGACTGGTCGGTTGGTTGATTGACTAGTCGATCGGTTGGTCGGTCGGTCGGTCGGTAGGTTGGTTGGTTGGTCGGTTGTTTTGTTGGTATCAATCCGGTGAAAAGTTTCATTAATTGAGCTAACAATAAAAGTATACATCTGCCTGCCCACCTACCAGCATCAGCAGAGGAGAAGACATCCCAATATTCGTCTGCACGTTGGCCTACCCCGACCTCTCCTGCCCCCTGCATGTCTTCGAACCCAGGTACCGCCTGATGATGAGGAGGTGTCTTGAGAGTGGCGCTAGGCAGTTCGGCATGTGCGTCTGGCTGGATAAACCTGTTGGGTAGGAACTTTTTACTGCTGTTCTGTTTAGCTGCCTGCGTGTTTCAGCTTGTTTGTTTGTCTGCCTGTTAACCTTTTTATTGTGTTAATATTGTTGTTGCCGTGAAATTGCTCATGTGAATAACATCCATTCAGTCACATTCACATCAAGTCGTTGTTGTTGTTATCATCAGGATGAATATGGAGATGAAACAGAGTTGCAAATAAATGATCAAATTCTTTCAAGGTAGAAATTTAAAGCATACCTGATGAAATTATTTTAAAAATTGTCGCAGAGACCAGCACTACTCGCAGATTGGAACCATGCTTGAAATACAGGATCTCAGATATTTGTCGGACGGTAGGTCGGTGGTGACGACCTTAGGTCGACGCAGGTTCAAAGTTCAAAGTCGAGGTAAAAGAGATGGCTATGATGTGGCTAAAGTTCAGTACATCTCGGATAAATTCATTCCCCAAGAAAAAGTTCAGGGTCAGTTTAGATACTAATGACTTTGATGTAATGGTAGTTGTGATGAAGATGGTTGTGTTTATAGATTCGATAGCGATGATGATAGTGATGTTGACGACGATGACGATGATAACCATCTATTTATTTGAAGCGGTGTCTAGTCAGCTGCTTGAAACTTACGACAAATGCCTCAAATGGTTCAACGGCCTGGCTCCCGAGAAGAGGCAGGCCATCATCAACTGCTACGGAAACTTTCCTCAATTCTCGAGGGTTTCTCAGAAGCAGCTCATCGAAAATAATAGCAACTATCATTCTGGGGGTGCTGGTGATGATGGAGAACGTGATGACAGCTGCCACCATAATGCCAACGCCGAGAAATCAGGTAACGGTAATGGTGATAGAAGCAAAAATGCGAAAAATGATAGCGGTGATGAGGAAGTCAGCAACGAGAATGACAACAAGTGTTGTGGTGGCGTTAAAAATGGCTCTGGAAGCAAAATTTGTAAGGGCGGGAACAAGCACAGATGTGATGTTGGTTATAATAATGACGATGGCGATGAAAGTGCTGAGGAAGACTATAAGGATGTGTCATCATTCGTCTCGTCATCAGATCCAAACAAAAAGTCACCATCTCGCTCACCCAGATCATCACCACCATCGTCAAAATCACCTTCGTGTAAACTCAAAAGTCTTCCACCACCATCATCACCACCACCTCCGAACATATTCGGCGACGATGGACCAAAGTGGTTGTGGTACATGGTGGCCATTCTTCCGTTGGAAACTTCTGTGAAGACCTCACTGCTATCCAATCCATCGCTCGAGTGTCGCCTGGTCACTCTGCAGAAAGTTCTGAACGTTGTGAGCAGTCGCAACTGGAGGTGACTAGGCCCGGTCCTCCTGCTACTCTTCTATTTCTTCATCCATTTCATCTTGCTGAATCCACTCGGAATTTTAAACTGTTCATTTCTCAGATTTTTATGATCACTTTTTTATTTCGTTCTTAGAGCGTTGACAGAAACTGTTGATGAAAATATTTCATTTTACTCACTTTTATGCAAATTTGTAAACTTTCAAAACATTTTACCACGAAATTAAGTGGTGCCTATTTTTGTTCATTTATTTTATTGATTTCTACGTTGCACTGGTAACAAACATTTTACACTTGGAAAAAAATAGAGGAGATTAGATTGAAATGATTTCATTGCAAAGTTGTTCAGACTTTAGTGAGCAAAGATTGATTTTAGCAGTCTTCTTGAAAAATTTAGCTAATAAATTATACCCCGGGTTTAAAAATCTCTAACTATCAGTTGTTGTTTAAATTATTTCGGTTTTAACATGTTTTAATGGTTGAACAAATTTGGATTTTTTGAAAATTTAAAGTGGTGCAAAAAGCTCAAGTTTTGTTGTTCAGGGTTGTCTAAATTTTTCTGAGGTTACGTGATTAAGAGATGCGAGAGGGGTGATTTGGTTTTACTTTTTTTTGGGTGGTATAAAAATTACTGTCTAATCTTTTATTTATTTATGTTTTTTAATTTTATTTCTGTTTCAACCAAGAGATATTCCATTCATTTAAATGTAGCAAGCAATCGTCTGTACGTTGTTTCGGTTAGTAAATTCAACATTGAGGAATACCTGACTGTTCAAGTTACAGCCTTCGGTTGAAATGTGGTTTGACAGTTTTATTCCTAATCTTCATAAATTTTTATTTGATAAACAAGCAATTGTCAATTATTTTAATTAAATCATTCGATTTTATTCTTTTAAAGGTTTTTTCAACTAAAATGTTTTGAAAATAAATTGGAATCAATGTCGTTACTCATCGTCCTACCATTATTTGCGTAGTTTTAGAATAAACATTTATTCCAGCAAATGTCAAATAACTCAAACAGATATTCCCCATATATATAGGCTTATATAAATCACGTATAATTATAAAAAGCATATATATCACATACATAGGCTTATATATATGCACAAATAAGTTATTATGAAGGTTGTGATAGGGAATATAATACGAAATGTACGCACACGTATATAATTAACATCTTCCAAACATTGTAAATAGATTCTTGATAGCGAATATATAGGGAAGTTGAAAACAAAAATAACACCAGTATTAGTAGTAGTAGTTGTAGTAGCAGCAACAGTAGTCGTAGTAGCAGCAACAGTAGTAGTAGTAGCAGCATCAGTAGTTGTATTGTAGTAGTAGCAGCAAAATTATTATTTTCATCAACTCCGTTACCGTCATCATCGCCTTCATGAACACTTACCATTATCTTATCAACACCATCGTTATCATCAGTGACGTCATCCAAATTTAATAAAAATGTAAGTAAAAAAAAATCTGAAAACAAAATTAATATTATGATTATTATTACTACTACTACTACTTATGCTGCTGTTGCTGCTACTACTTACTACTACTACTACTGTACTGCTGCTGCTACTGCTACTATTATTTATATTTTATTTTTTTTTTCAATATAATCGTAAGAGTAAAATTATTTTTATTATTTATGTTATTCGCTTCAAGTAACAACAAAACAACAACAATGATAATATTAATAATAACTAAAACAATAAAAATAATAATAAATAAAAAAAAATAATACGAAGAAGAACAAAAACAATGGTAATAATATAGTCTGCTATGTTTAGTCTCTAAGATGCCTGCCTCAACAGACAGTAAAAATTTTGTTGCTCCATCATCGTCATCAACATTAACGACGACCATAATAATAATAATAATAATAAATATTATTATTATTATTATTATTATTATTCGCTTCAAGTAACAACACTGTTATAAAGCTATCGTATGGCATATATTGTGACAGAAACAATTCGTGATTTATATTTGAATATACTTCACCGCTATGTACTTTTTCTAAAAAATGAGCATTGTGGCAATTGACATTTTATTACATTTTATTACATTATTGTGACATTTCATTATTTTATTTTCATACTTATTTATTGTCTTTGCTTTGAAATAAAAGAGTTCTCATTATTGTTAATATTATTATTATATTCTTACTAGGTAATTATTGTTGTTATTATCATTAAAATTGAAGTCTTTACATCATCAGCCTCAGCAGCAGCATACATTTCAATAGTTCATTATTAATTATTTTTATTCCAAGCATAAGATTGTGGCACAAGAAACGCTCTCTTTATGCTACGAATGATCGAATGATCAGCGAACGAGCGATTGAAATGATGAAAGACTTGTTTATATGTTTTGTCCATTACTCCAAAGCTGTGAAACACGTGTAGCTTATGGAAATATTTGAAAATTTTGACACCGTTGGAAAAGACACGAGAGTTATCAAAAACCTATATTGGGACCAAGTGATACAGATCTTATAGCAGATTCAATGGAAAAATTGCCAACAATTGTTTCCAAACTGGTTTTTGAAAGTGAAAGGAAAGGCTTGCAAATTAAAATCAACAAACAAAGTGCATGATCATCATCTTTACCACCCAATTATCATCATTATCATCATCATCGCCCAATTATTATCATCATCATCATTATCATCATGGTCATCATCTTTGACGTCATCGTCGTCATCGTCCTCATCATTTTTTATCAGAAACTCTATCAGACTCCTCCATAAGCATTCCTTATCATGCAGCTCAAACTAGGCATTCGTTAACAACAACAACAGCAACAACAACAGCAACAACAACAACAACAACAACAACAACAACATAAACGACAATTCCTTATTCAAAAAACACCAATACCAGTCACATGGAAATATTATACAACAAAGGTTAAAGCCCAATAAGCGAATATACATATTTTTTGCATATTTTGCTTATGAGAAAAGCAATGAAATTAAATGCAAAGACATGTGAACGATATGAAAATTCACGTTACAAAAACCCGACACACACAAGCACGCACGCACACATAATACAGCACTGTATATGCATATTTACATATATATCAAATACGTTTATGCATACATATAAGTATAGTATATACATATGGTATATATACAGTATTGTGATACACACAGTATATATACAATTATACAGTTCAGTATACTGCATGATGAATTCGGATAAAAAGAGTTTTATTAAATCTTCATGATGAACTTGGATAATAATAATATTTTCGACAAACTGAACAATTTCTGAAAAATTCTAATAAGGAAAATTAAAAAAAGACAACTTTGAATTGATTCAAAACATCAACAATTCGGTAGAATTCGTACAATACTGTATAAAATATGTTCTCCTTCCAACATATAGTATATATATATATATATATATATATAAGTATATATATATAAGTATATATAAGTATATATATATATATATATATATATATATATGAGTTATGAATAGCATGTTTACGATTGCATTGTATATAAACACCCAGCATACAATACATCTTCAAACTTTCTGCATCCGCCAAATGCTTCAGCAGCAACAGCGCGCACACACAAAAACACACATACGCACACAAACACACAACAACACAAGAACAACACACACAAACAATGTTTTGTTATTAATGATATAGTTATGTTTATTCATTTTTTGGTGAGTTACATTGCTTTTTGTAATGGGTTGAGGTGTGCATGTATTTTGTCTTCATGCTTATAAGGTTGTTTTGTGCTATGTCTGTTTAGGTATGTATAATACGTTATGGGATATGTGTATAGAATGTATACATATGTGCAGGTATTTTTGTATAGTAGCATTATGGTATTTAAAGCCCATTTATGCATGTATGAATATGAATACATGATACATTAATATACAGAAATGAAAAAGTATGCGTCTAATAAATATATGTAAATATGAAAATATATGATTTCTATACAATTTCTTTATTTGTGTCTATAGATCCAATCATCTTTTTCATCCAATCATTCATTTTTTTATTAATAATTAATTAATTCATTTATTCATTTGTTCATTTGTTCATTTCTTCATCTTTCTCTCTCTCTCACTCTCTTTTTCTTTATTACCGATTTAACCATACACCCAATCTTCTTTTAATTCTTTTATTCATCCACTTTTACATTCATTCATTTATTCTTCTATACATCTCTTTCTTTAACTTTTTTTCTTTTTCTCTCTTTCTCTCTCAGATCTATCCATACATTCATCCAATCACTGATTCAATCTTTTGTTTAATCGTTTTTTCATTCATTCATTCATTCATTCATTCATTCATCTATCTCTCCATCTTTTTATCTCACTCTCACTTTCTTCCCCCATCTCACACTCACACACACTCTCTTTTTCTTTCTCTCTTTCTCTCTCACTCTCTCCCTCTCTAACTCTCTTTCTCTTAACTTATATTTTTCAATGTTGTTGGCTGCCGTTTTCGAGGTTAACATTTCGTCTTGCGTAGAACATCCGCACCGTCAGTCTTGTGGTAATTTAAATATAATGTTATCAGCTATTATTACTAATAACCTAATTAATAATCATTCAGTTAATTGATTGACCAGTCAATTAACCAGTCAATCAATTAGCCAATCAGTTAACCGGTCAGGTAAATAATTCATTCAATCTGTTTATCGATTGATTGATTGGATGGTCGTAGCAATAATCTATGAATAGTAATAAGAAGAATAGTCATAATAATTGTAATAATAATAATAATAGTAATAATAATAATAATAAACATAACAAGAACTTTTTCATGCCCCAACGTGTTTATTACAGAATGTTTTAATTAATTAAAAAGCGTTATTTTAGTTAATAGTTTTAAGGAAGAAAAATTTTCGCAACGTTTTTCAGAAGTTAATTTTGCTATTTCCATAGGACGGTTCGGTTGGTTTAAAATTTTAAAATAATAACAATAATAACATTATTATTATTCAAAAGTTAACTTTATTATTATTTTCTTTTTT